TTCTGTGATGTGAGGTCGAATAGAACAGATTTGGCAAGATTGTTATGTTGGCATATCCATTATAGTAGATAGTTAACCAAGTTGGGTATCTTTCCGGATTTGGTAATATCGACAGAGAAGGCGAAAGTGTCAGCGTACTCAGGAATAGAGAAACTAATAGTAAAAATGAGTTTTGACCAGTCCTTCATAGTGATATTTAAAAAATTTTTTATGTGTTCTACACCGAAGCTTGGAGGCAAGCTAATAGTGGGGGTGTCTTCAGGTTGTATGAGTTTGGTGGTCCAGAAAAAAAATCCAAAGTAGGAGGAGGAGCTTTCTGAGGCCATGTTTTGGTTGAGATTTTGGGGCTTGATAGAGTAAGGTACTTGTTGCTTTTTGTTATTTTTGCTAAGAGCACTACTTGTAGTTTGTTTCTGGTTAGTTGAATATAGGGGTCCTTAGGACCACTTTCGCAGAAGGGTTGAAAAACTGGTTTATTGCTGTTTTGGGTGTTTATTGCTACTAGCTTGTTGTGGTGGAGACTTTTAATAAAAATTGCACCTCTTTTAAGTAGTTTTGGAGGTGCTGAATAACTTTACTTAAGAGCCAAATATCAATTTACTTAGTAAGATTTCGAGAAATGTTTGCGAAAAAGTTTTTTCTTCTTGTTCCAATTTTGATAAAGTGATCTATGAGAAGAGTTCTCATTCCATTTTTTAAATGAAATAAATATTTATGAGCTTAAATAAGCAGTTTAACATAAAGATTAAATCAATGCGAATTAAAATGCCAAGTTATATATAATATTTATAATATTGGTTTGAAATATTTTTATACTTCGACATTTTATGAATTAGTCACACATTTTCTGTGTTAGTATTCATATCAAACGTAATTCAACATACACATATTAGATCAAGCATTGAAAGAATTGTATATATAAAATATATATAATTTATCACACATTCCTATTGTGTAATATAAGCGTCTAATCACTATAAATGCGATTAGCTTTAGCTTATACATATGTACGTATGTATGATATTTTAGAATGTTGTCTATGTTAGTTTGCCACTTTCGCATTTAGAGACATTGTTGGAGCTATTGCACTTGTCATTCTTTGGAGTCATTTTGGTATGAAGTCAATATGGAATTATCTTTAAGCTATTAATAGTTTTTTTCGTATTAATAAAGTCGCATTATGTAGACTCTTGGATTTTAGGTGCTAACTTTAAGCACAATGAATTAATGTGCCAAAATATGAAATGTGTCAGGAATGTGATTGCATTTTAATTGGCAGAAAATATTTTAACTGTTCAAATGCACTTATTATGAAGGTAAATAAGGTATGATATATGTAGAGAAATAGTATGTGTAGTAGGCGGAAAGTAAGAGATAAGTGATTTAGTTATTAATGAAAGTTTTAATAATAGTGCATAGTGTAATTTGGTACCGCTATTATCCTCCTATATTCTCCTATTTTGAAGTATTCATCTTGGCCTACCTCAATGAAGTAGCGGAAAATGATTATTTCGGTCAAAAAACTTTTGTCCAACTCATTTTTTTGATGCTAATTTATCAAAACTTTATAACTATCGTAAGTGAAGGAGTTTAAGCTGATTTAGAATTATTAAGGGTTAAAGAGAGAATTAGATTTTAGGTGTAGTCATTAAGTTCTAATCTAAGTGGATTCCAAATCAATTTTAGTTTCGTTTCACTTACAACAATTATATATAGGAATTGGTATGTAAATTGCATTAAATAGACTGTTTTAATATATTGTATCAATTGAGCATTACCATAATTATTTGAATTGGTCTCTAATGATTCCCTTGGTAGTACTCATATCTACTTATATATTGATATTCCATGTTTATTCAGCACTAAAGCATGTTTGCTGATATGCGATTTGTTATCTGTTTTTCTATTTAAAATTTAACAGATATTTGGATATTCAGGTTCTTTATAATAATTTTGTTATAAAATTAAATTGGCAGATATCAGAATCGCATCTCTATGCTTACGATTCTATTCAACAAATGGTAGTTTATTTGGCTGATTTGTTTGATTTTTAACTAATTGAAATGTTGCCTTCAGTAGATACTTGAGAACATCCTTAGGATTGGGGTTTGGGTCAGTGCAAGGTTAAAGTTAGTATAGGAGTAGGTGAATTGGTATTTGTTAGAGTTAATATAGGGTTTATACAGGGTCTGTTTGTTAGAGTTAGTATAGAGTTAGGTTTAGATGGATTAGTATGTTCTTAAAATAGTAATTAAGAAATGCAAATATAAAATTTATTTTTTTATATTAATTTTTGTATCTTTTTCAAAATAAAGAGGAATATCATTAACATAAAAAAAATTATTTCAGTTTTTATATTCCATAATTTCTATAATCACTGATTTGTTACCTCCATTCTTCATTGTTTTTTGAAAAAAATGAAACACATGTTCATGATTTTTTCTTCTTTATAGCTGAACATGAAAAAGAATTAAATCCAACATTTTTATGAATGTCTATAAATTTTGAAACGTGATATACTAAAACATGAATGTAAGGTGTTACATCAGTTGGACAGTAAAGACCTTGTAAAAGCCTGGAGAATTAATACTACCCTGAGATCGTGTTAAAAAAAGTTGTAGCCAACTATGTGCTTTTTGATAAAAGTCTTTTCCAGTTATATTTGGATTATGTAAATCATTATACAAATAATAAAATCCATCTCACAGTTTTTTAATTAGTGTAGCACGTTGCAAAAAAAAGATCACTATAAAGTCAAAATTCTGTAATATTTTTAACTTATCGTCACTCATTAAAGGTGTATATGCCCATGTTTTTGTATTATGATCCTCCCAAAATTGAAACTTAACTCCAATACAATTCATCTATCTATAATAACTTAACTCCAATACAATTCATCTATCTATAATAACTTTACGCATCATATCATTATAATTTTAGTACTACGAAGTTTATTAATTACTAAAGTCTATAGTTGGTTTGTAACTCTTAAAAGTAAATGTAACTCATCTACAACATAATTATGAATTGGAATCATTAGGAAAAGTGGTGGTTGATTATGCTCAGGTATGTTTTGATAATTTTGATTAATTTTATTCATATTTTTTGTAATTGTCCAATTATCTTGACAAACTCCATTAATCTCTAATACACCATTTTGTGATTTATAAATCAGGCACCATAAGCAATATTCTGCACTATTTGCAGCTTTATGACCCAAACACATTGCTATAAATTTCCAGTCTGCCAAAAAATAAAGCTTGACATTCCAATAATAACCTTCTTTATCAACAAATCTATTCTTAATATCCTCTAACTCAGCTATTAAAGATTTTATTGCTATTTGTAATATTGAATATTTTTCTACTCCTGGATAAATGATTAATATAAAATGTGATTCAGGCTTAAAAATATTTATTTTATTATTTAATAAAGTAAAAGTAATCATAGTATGATTGATTTTTTTTTCTACATTCCGGCCATCATCAGAGATTCGAATATTAATTGTTGGATCAGAAAGGTCAAGTATTTTTTTGCAATTATACTTGGAATTAGATATGCTAAAATATCTTTAATTGAACGTAATACTCCAATTTCAGATAATGTTTTAGTATCAGAAATAATATTAGAACTATTAATATAAGTGCTAATATTATTATTATTTGCCAAATATAAATTAAAATTAATCAAAGAAATTTTTATAGATTCTTTCATTAAATTATTAATTTCTTGCCATTTAGTTGTAATTGTCCATTCATGAGGAAGATCATAACTAATATTAGTGAGTACCCTATATGCATCTCTAGTAATTCATTGTTGATCCATAGCTCGAATTATTGCCATTTGACATATAGGTTCATCTAATGATTGTAAATTGTATATTACTTAAAATCTTTGATCATCAACTGAAAATATTAATTCATTTAATTCTACTTTGTCTTGTAAACTAAAATTAGAATGAACTCTAGTTTCAAAATCTAAAAAAAGATTATCGCTTATAGATTTGGTTTGAATTATTTGCATTTGTCTTGTTAAATCTTTAAAAGGTTTGTATATTTTAGTTGTTCTATTAAGATTTTCTCTAAATCGATTTAATTGTTTTAAATGTAGTCCAAAAAGATGTATTACATTCATTTTGCTATTAGGAATAGATATAGAACTCTAAAAAAATTAATTTATTATATATACAGTATATATAAATTATACAATATAATTAATAATATTTAACTTACGATATTTGAATTATTTGCTTGTTCATATTCAATTTTTTTTATATTATATGCCTTAAGATAAGCATTTGCTGCTGCTGTTGGGGAATAATTTAATAATATAAAATCGTCAGAATTTGATCCAAATTTAATTGTATATTGAGGGTGATTGTCTACATAATTTATTGAACAGGTTACAGTTTTTTCTTCTTTTTTTCCATATGTAGTTTTAACTATATATTCGTCAGGAATTTTATATGCATTGGGTTTTAAAGTATAAGCTAAATAATTTTTTGAAGGATAAAAACCTGGCTCAATAATATTATATTTATAACTATGCTTAGAAGTTTTATATATAATTATTTTGCTTTTAGAATAGTTAGAATTGTCTTTACTAACTTCCTTTTTTTTATGAATGTTATTATTGTTAGAATTCATGTTTTTTAAAATAAACAAAATTATTATTAGCTATTGTTATTTATTTATTTCTTTGTATATTACGTTTAACAAATAAAAAATATATATACCAGTATATATAACAAATAAATTTGTATATATATATGTACTGTACATACGTATGTATGTATTATATGAAAAATAGATATAGATATAAATAAATTTAATTGGTTAATTTAATTGTCAAATGATTGACACACTGTATGTCAAATTTAGGAGCATTATAATTTTTAGAGTATTTTACAAATTAGCAGATATGCTGTGGTTTTCGTGTTTGTGATTTTACCATGGCTTTAGTGTTGTTGAAGTTTGTAATTTCGCTATGTTTTGGTGTTGTTAGTATGCCATAGCTTTTTTCATCATTGGTGCTTGTAATTTCGGCTTGGCTTCAAGTGTATTGGTGCTTGTGATTTCGTCGTGGCTTGGTGCTTGTGGTTTGTTGTAGCTTTTTTTGTTGTTGGTGTTTGTGATTTCACCGTCATTTGGTGCTTGTGGTTTTTTTAGTGCTTGTGATTTCACAGTGGTTTTCAATGTGGTTTTCGTATCGTTGGTGCTTGTGATTTTACCGTGACTTCTTATGTTGTTGGTTTTTGGGATTTTACCATAGTTATCTGTGCATAGATTAGGGATCAGGTTAGGTTAGGGTTAGAATAGGGTATATAGTTAAATAGGTTGGGTTAGAATTTATTATTACCTTGTATTTTTGTTGTGCTGTAATTAATCTTATTATACATATTAAATCGATATTCAATTAATAAAAATTGAAAAATTTTATTAGTAAACTTTATTTTTTGAGGGTGCATTCTTTATAGTTAGGGTTAAGATATATTTTTGATCAAAGTGTTGAAAATTTCAGTGCAGTTTCTACATAATAGATTCTCTAAAACATTGACCGATGATATCTTGGCACCCACTTGATCAAATTCAATAAGATTTTTTATTCAAATTCTACAGATCTGTAGAATTCGAATATCAAATTTAATCAAGTGGGTGCCAAGATATCTTTGATCAAAGTGTTAAAAATTTTGGAACAGTTTCTACAAGCTGTGCCAATTTTTTCTAAAACTTTGAGCAAAGGTAACTTAGCAACCGCCTGACCAAATTTGATGAAATTTTTTTATTTGAATTCTATGAATCCATAGAATTTAAATAAAAAAATTTCATTGAATTTGATTAGGTGATTGCTAAGTTATCTTCGCTCAAAGTTTTAGAAAAAAATCAAACCATCTATTAAAATACAAGCAGTGCCAAATTTTGAGCGAAGGTAACTTAGCAACCACCTGACCAAATTTGATGAAAATTTTTTTATCTAAATTCTATAGAACCATAAAATTCAAATAAAAAAAATTTATCGGATTTGATTAGGTGGTTGCTAAGTTAACTTTGCTCAAAGTTTTAGAAAAAATCAAACCGTCTATCAAAATACAAGCTGCACCAAATTTCTCTAAAACTTTGAGCAAAGGTAACTTAGCAACCACCTGACCAAATTTGATGAACATTTTTTTATTTGAATTCTATGAATCCATAGAATTTAAATAAAAAAAATTTAATCAGATTTGATTAGGTGGCTGCTAAGTTATCTTCGCTCAAAGTTTTAGAAAAAAATTAACACATCTATCAAAATACAAGTAGAGACAAATTTTTCTAAAACTTTGAGTGAAGTTAACTTAGCAACCACCTGACCAAATTCAAAGAAAATTTTTTATTTAAATTCTATGGATCCATAGAATTCAAATAAATAATTTCTTCGAATTTGGTCAGGTGGTTGCTAAGTTAACTTCACTCAAAGTTTTAGAAAAATTTGTTTCTGCTTGTATTTTGATAGATGGGTTGATTTTTTTCTAAAACTTTGAGCGAAGGTAACTTAGCAACCACTTGACTAAATTCGAGAAATTTTTTTATTTGAATTCTATGGATCCATAGAATTCAAATAAAAAAATTTTCTTTGAATTTGGTCAGGTGGTTAATAAGTTACCTTCTCTCAAAGTTTTAGGAAAATTTTGTACAGCTTGTATTTTGATAGACGGTTTGATTTTTTTTAAAACTTTGAGCAAAGATAACTTAGCAACCACCTAATCAAATCTGATAATTTTTTTTTTATTTGAATTCTATGGATCCATAGAATTCAAATAAAAAAATTTTTATCAAATTTGGTCAGGTGGTTGCTAAGCTACCTTCACTCAAAGTTTAGAGAAATTTGGCACAGCTTGTATTGATAAACGTTTTAATTTTTTTTTTAAAACTTTGAGTGAAGGTATCTTAGCAACCACTTGACCAAATTTGAAAAAAAAAATTATTTGAATTCTATGGATCCATAGAATTCAAATAAAAAAATTTTCTTTGAATTTGATTAGGTAGTTGCTAAGTTATCTTTACTTAAAGATTATTATATCAAATTTTACTGTGTATATTAATTTTTTTTTGCAATTTGATTGGATAATGGCGAAGTCCATAAGGTGAGGTCAAATTTCGAGTTACACAGACCTTTCCAATCTGCTAGCGATCTGGAAAAATGAGTCATATGACTTTTGCCCATTTTGATTGGCTAATAGGCCAGAGATATATAAGTTATATATCTCTGGCTAGAGATATATAGAAAAACCCATAATAAAATAGTTTAAACCAAAGTTAAAAAAAATTTAATTCTTAGTATAATTAACCTTTTTAAAGATATATTCAAGCTTTTTATATCTATAATCAAGTTCTTCAAATATGTTGCTAGCTTCTTTATATATTTCTGTTCTATTAATTAGTTTTTTAATTCATATGTTTAAAATAAAAGATTACTATAATTTATTAAATATCAGTCACACTATTTTGCTTGTAAATTTATATATATATAAAATTATAAAAAAAACATATAAAATTACTATAAACTTTGATTCTGT